GTCTTATTCTGTCACCAGAACTCCCAGTATGATATTCAAAGGCAGTAGTGAGAGAACATCTTTGCCTTGTTCTTGATCTTAATGGGAAAAGTTTGAGTTTCTTACCATTAAATATAATGTTAGTTGTAGATTTTTATATATATTTTTTATTAAGGAAAATTTTCATGATTCCTAGCTTACTGAGGGTTTATTTTATTTATTTTATTTTTTATTTTTTGAGACAGAGTCTCACTCTGTCACCCAGACTAGAGTGCAGTGGTGTGATCTCAGCTCACTGCAACCTCCACCTCCCGGGTTCAAACGATTCTCCTGCCTAAGCCTTTCAAGTATCTGAGATTACAGGCATGTGCCACCATACCCAACTCATTTTTGTATTTTTAGTAAAGATGAGGTTTTGTCATGTTGGCCAGACTGGTCTCAAACTCCTGGCCTCAAGTGATCCACCCACCTTGATCTTGCAAAGTGCTGAGATTACAGGTGTGAGTCACTGCACTCGGCCTTATTTTTTAATCATAAATGGGCGTTGAATTTTTGTCAAATGCTTTTTTATGTTTATTGATATGATTATGTGGTATTTTTTCCTTTGTTGATGTAATGGATTAAATTAATTGATTTTGAAATGTTGAGCCAAGCTTGCATAAATGTTACAAATTCTACCTGGTTGTGCTGGTAATATTTTTTTGAGAATTTTAACATATATGGTCATGAGAAATATTGGCCTATAGTTTTTTTTTTTCTTTGAATTTTTTTTAATGGTTTTGGTATTAGGGTAATGCTGACCTTTGGGAATGAGCTAGGAAGTAGTTCTATCTTCTGAAAGAGGGTACAGAATTGATATAATTTCTTCCTAACTGTTTGAAAGAATTAACCAGTAAATTCATCTGCGCCTGGTGTTTTCTGTTTTGGAATGGTAATTATCGATTAAATTTCTTTAATAGATATAGGACTATTCAAATCATTTTCTTCTTGTATGAGTTTTGGCAGATTGTGTCTTTCAAGGAATTGGTACATTTCTTTAATGTCATCAAATTTGTGGGCATAGAGTTGCTTATATTATTCCTTTTAATGTCCATGGGGTCTGTAGTGATGTTCCTTCTTTCTGATATTAGCAGTTTGTGACTTTTCCTGTTTTCTTAGCTAGCTACCTAGAGGCCTTTTGATTTTGTTGAACTTTCCAAAGAACCCATTTTTTTGGTTGTTGTTGATTGTTCTTTAGTGATTTCCTGTTTTCAGTCTCATTGATTTCTGCTCTAGTTTTCGTTTTTCCTCCTTCTGCTTACTTTGGACTTAATTTGCTCTTTTTTTCTAAGATGGAGGCTTACATTAATAATTCTAGATCTTCTTTTCTTTTTGAAAGTTAATATCAATATTATTTTAAATGGAAAAATATAATTTTATATATCTATGGGGCACAATGGTATGTTTTGATGTATATGTACAATGTAAAATGATTAAATCAAGCTAATTAACATATCCATCATTTTTGTCATTTACCTATCATTTTATTGTGAGACATCTGAAATTTACTCTGAGTTATTTTGAAATACACAATACAGTATCATTGACTGTAATCACCCTGCTTTGGAGTAGATGTCGAACTTATTCCTCCTGTCTACCTGAGACTTTGTACTTTTTGATCAACAACTCCCCATTCTCTCCCTTGTTCCCACCCCATCCTCCATTAACCATCACCCTAATCACTACTTCTATGAGTTCAACTCAGAGAATATGTGATATTTGTCCTTGTGTGCCTGGCTTATTTCACTCAGCATTATGTCCTCCAGGTTCATCTACACAGTCACAAATGACAGAATTTTCTTCTTTTAAGAGGATGAATGGTATTCCATTATGTGTACATTCCACATTTTCTTTGTTCATTCATCCCTTGCTGGACCTTACTTTGTTCCGTATCTTGGAGACTGTGAATAATGGTGCAATAACATAGGAGTGCAGATATCCCCTTGACATTTGATTTCAATTTCCTTGGGTGGGATTGCTGGATCATATGGTAGTTCTATTTTTATTATTTTTTGAGGAACCTCCATAACTTTTACCACAATGGCTATACTAAATTACATTCCTACCAACAATATAGAAGAGTTCCCTTTTCTCTGCATCCTTGGCATCATTTGTTACCTTTCATCTTTTTGATGAAAGCTATTCTAAAAGATGTGAGATGGTATCTCATTGTGGTTGTAATTTGTGTTTCCCTAGTGATTTGAGTGACTGAGAATTTTTTTTTACATATCTGTTGGTCATTAGTATGTCTTCTTTGGGAAAATATCTATCCACATCCTGTGTCTATTTTTAAATTGGGTTTTCTTGCTATTGACTTGTTTGTGCTCCTCACATATTTTTGCATGTTAACTCCTATCAGATGTATGGTTTGCAAATTCCTTTTTCCTGATCTGGAAGTGGTCTCTTCATTTCCTTAATTGTTTCCTTTGCTGTGCAGAAGGCTTTTAATTTGATGACATTCTATTTGTCTATTTTTACTTTTGTTCTCTGTGTTTTTGGGATCATATTAAAAAATCATTGTCTAGACCAATGTTGTGGAGCTTTCCCTCTAGTAGTTTTACAGTTTCAGGTTTTACGTTGAAGTTTTTAATCCATTTTGAGTTGATTTTTGTATATGGGGTGAGACAAGGATCTAATTTCATTCTACGTGTTGATAACCCAACAGCATTTATTGACTATACGGTCCTTTTGCCATTGTATGCTCTTGGTACTGTTGTCCCAAATCAATTGATTGTAAATGTGTGAGTTTTATAAAAAGAACTTTTAATTCTACTCCATTGGCTGATGTGTCTGTTTTTAGGCCAGTATTATGCTGTTTTGATTATAATCACTTTATAATGTATTGTGAAGTCAGGGATTGGAATGCCTTGAGCTTTGTTCTTTTGCTCAATATTTTTTTTGTGTGTATGTGTGTGGCTATTCAGTATCATTTGTGGTTCTATATGGATTTAAGGATTTTTCCCCATCTTTCTATGAAAAATGACATTGAAATTTTAATGGGAATTGAATTGGACATGTAGATGGATTTAGGTAGTATAGACATTTTAACAGTCTTAATTCTTTCAACCCATAAACACAAGGTATCTTTCCATTTATCTGTGTTTTCTTCAATTTCTTTCAACTAGTATTTTATAGTTTTCAGTATACAGGTCTTTTACCATCTTGGTTAAATTTAGACAGTATTTTTGGTGCTACTGTAAATGGGCTTATTTTCTTCAGTTCCTTTTAAGTTAATGACCTATTATCATATAGAGTCATTAATGAATTTTTTTGATGATCTTGTATCCTGCAATTTTGCTGAAGTCATTTATCAATTCTAACTGTTTTTTTGTGAGATGGTTTGGATTTTCTGTATATAAAATTATATCATCAGCAAGTAGAGACAATCTCACTTCTTTTCCTATAAAGATGCCTTTTATTTCTTCTTCTTCTAGGATAAGTCTACTTTGCTTCCACATAACAACCACAGGATAGATGAAATTCATTTTCTAAGAAACAAAATCTTGGCAGTTAGATCCATGGGGTAAAGAATATAGATACTAATGTAAGTAACACCTCAAGTTCATATCCTTGGTTTGGATGCTTTGCTCAATAGTGTTTAGTGGTATTTCAAAGGAATCAATGTCTATAACAGCAATTAAAATCACCAGGAATGGACCAAATGTGTTCCGAAAATGTTTAATATAATTTGGCACAACTGAAGTGATAAGAAGTATAGTAGTTAGACCATTTATATTCACAACTATTTAACATTGTATCTTATTTTCTACCACAAATGATTTAATCTTTTCCATATTGGTATGATCCCGGCTGATAACTCTTTGTGTGGCAGCCTGAGAGAATATGGAAGACATTGTCAGTGTTGGAAGATGGTGGTTTTATAGCTTTTCATTGCACTATCTTTAAAACATGGGCAAATTGAATAAAAGAAGACTACAGAAGAAATAATGGTGAATGAGGATTTGATATGAAGCATGGATGTTAATTAATCATCCATGTTCTCCGAGGTCCATTGTAAAAGGTGACCTAATCATTAGGGAGAGAGCCACTAATGGGGAGATCTTATTCCTAGAATTTTGTGGTTGTATTATTATTCATGAACCAATGAATAATAAATGATGAGGATATAAAGGAAGAAAAACGTGCTTGGACCAATGATGAGTACCATGGGGTATCTGAAACAGGATTTTTGATTAAACCCATATGCAACTCTGAGGTCCATTACAAAGAGACACGTAATCATTCCTTTTTTGGGAAGGGGGCCTGTGGTGTCTTGTCCTTGGGCTTTGTGGTTCTTGGGGATGGATTGTATTTTTGTTATAAAATCAGTTCATGAATAAAAAATTTACCAATGATTAAAACAAAAAGCATAAGTCATATACTTGTTATCAATGAATATAATGAAATATGGATTATTATTAAAACTTATCTGAGACTTCCAGTAAATTTACATCCAAGGCTTATACCTTCTGGTAAGGGGCATACAGCTATTTGTATGCAAGAGTCAAACATTTTGTTCTGTTTTGGTTGTGGGTTGCTAACTGTTTTGTTAAGAAAATGAAACATCTTTAGTCATGTAAATAATTGGTTAAATAACCACTTAATTGAGACCAAGCAGAGACCAAGGATGAGAGTATTAATCTAATTTTTTTTTGGCTTTTTTTTTTATTGCATTTTAGGTTTTGGGGTACATGTGAAGAACATGCAAGATTGTTGCATAGGTACACACGTGGCAGTGTGATTTGCTGCCTCCCTCCTCCTCACCTATATCTGGCATTTCTTCCCATGCCATCCCCCCCAACTCCCCACCCCCTGCTGTCCCTCCCCTATTTCCCTCCAACAGACCCCAGTGTGTAGTGCTCCCCTCCCCGTGTCCATGTGTTCTCATTGTTTTAATGGACTTTTATTAAACAAATAAAATAAGAAACTTAGTCTGTTCTTCCTGAGGGCAATGACTCTAGACAGATGTAAATATTCTTCAGTGTTCTTGTCCAGTGCTGTGAGAGCACAGATACTGATGCCTTTTGTATATGAGAGATCAGGTGTACTTTTACATCTCTGTTTGTAATTTAGAGTCAGCAAACCATGGACCAGTTAGGAACAAATGTTATGATATGAGAATGCCACTTCATGTTTTTTTCCATGATAGATATTCTTGGAAAAACTCTAGGCTCTTTCATTGGTTTTGGAATACATACATGGGCCTTTCCAAGTAGTACTAATTTCGTTTCTCAGAAAAATGATAACATGTTTTTAAAAAGAGGCTTTATTTGTCTCTATAGAATGAAAACCATGTAGCTGGTTTTATTATTCTCTAATCATGAAGACCATTATTGTTATTTGTGGACTAATGAGCAGAAAGACTGATGTAAGTAAACATCAAATTGATGTTTTGGGCTAGGATGGTATTCATTTATGGGAGCCCACTACATTATTTTGATAAAACAAATTGTTAAATAACACATGAAACAAGGAAATGCCAGTCACAGACCTATGATTGTAATGTGTCATGAACAAAATCTTAGGATTAATTCAACCCAACCCAACTGAAGACGATTGTTAAATAAATGAGGCGCATTTCATACGTTGTCAGAGTAATTTAAATTCCCATTTAATGTTTTTGTTATAGTTGCTCAACATATTCCATCACTGACAAACATTTAAGTTGTTGACTTTTTGAGGTAGAAGTACCTTGGAAGATATTAGATGTTAATTTGCTTAATTGTGGGCTTACATGGTAGGTCCATGGTTGCATCCAAATTAATAATTAGACAAATCAAGTGGAAGAGAAGCTGGTACACCTCAATCATAAGTATGATATTTAAATGAAGCAAAGGCGCTGATGAATCTGTATGTGTGAACTTGAGGTTCATCGCAAAATATGATCTAGTTCATTTCCTCTGCATGAAAGGGAGTAATGAACAGATCTTGGTCCTGTTAAAGCCTTTTGTTCGCAGTTTTGTGTCATTAAAGGGTATTGATCATGTAATTATTATTCCTGAAACCATGAATGTTTCAGTTCAAGAAGGTATAAATGAATGAAGAAATAGACTGCCTAGCCTGGATCAATGATGAGTATTGGTGGAGGCGTCTGAATCAACACTTATGATTAAGCCCTCTGTTACTCTGAGATCTGTTACTGAATGAGAATCAGCCAGTATTCTCTGTAGAAATTACCTAATAGAATTAGGAAAATTCAATAAAACTTGTTCTTGAACTTTTGTGGTTCAAAGAGATGACATGTATTATTTTACGTGAATTCAGTGCATAAATAGAGAAGCGTATACATGAGAGAAGATGAACGGGCCTACTCATAGAACTATTCTTTGAGTAAAATGAAAAAGTATTATAAATATTAATACTGGCAATCAAACAAGTATCATTATTAATCTGAGGTAAAATCCTATTATATGGAACATATTGTATCTGCAGTTGAGACAATTTTTAAATTTTTATTCTTTGCTTTTTTTAATTAAGAAAAGGGAAAGTGTTTGCATCAGCCAGAAATCCATTAAGTAACATCTACTTAACAGATTTTTATACAGACAAATATTCATAATCATTATAGATCTTATTCTTGGGCTAGGTCATGAACTCAATAGTGTCTGTTATGCTACTTAAAACTAAAAGTTGAATACTGGCCTGAAAAGCAGTTGTGTTTTGGAACCAAGGATTATTGTTATTTAGTTCTGCTTGACTAACATCCATTTAAGAAAACCTAAATCTATTCTAAATCTGCCTTTTTCTCTCCAGAGTGAATATAGGCCAGTTGATTCAATCATTTAAAAAAGAATTGTTATCCTGAGTAAGGAGCATAGAGACAAATATAAGTAAGTTCCTTGTTTCATGTTCTTCCTTTGAATGGTTTGTTCTTGAGTGTTAGCTAAAGGATTTCAAAGAAATCAATGTCTACATACGTAAAATAAATAAAACACCCCAAATGGACCAATGATGGGAATGTGTAATGAACCATGGATTATGTTTAATCTAAATTGTGACAACTGAAGTGATTATAAAAGAAGACAAAAGTTAATGTATTCTCAGAGCAGCTCAACATTATTCTTTATTTTATGCCATGGTTATTTCACCCCTTATGGGTACAGATCCTGCCGACATCTGTTTTGGGGCAGTCCGTAAGAATATGTAATATGGCAATTTCATTGTTTTTCATCTATTTTTTGGCAATAGATGAATCAAATAGAAGAGGGCTATATAAAAATGAATGCTAAATGTGAATTGGTAGCATTCAGGGGTGTTGATCAATTCACATGTACGCTTTTAAGTGTCATTGTCTAAGAAATATAGTCTGTAGCTCTATGGGCCAAGAGCCTAAAATTTAATGATCCTGTTTTGGGGATTTTTGATTGCATCATTATTTGTGAGTCAATCGGTTAATCAATAGATGAAAAAAATGCACATCATGGACCAGTGATGAATGTCATGGGGTTTCTGAAACAACAATTTTGATTAAACCCATCTGCAACTCTGAGGTCCATTACAAAAAGTCACCTCTTTATTCTTCATGGGAAATGAGTCTACAGAACCTTGTTCATGGGCCTTTGTGGTTTGAGGGTACGAATTACATTATTATAATGCGTGAATACAGAATTTTATCAATGAATGAAGAATAAGAAAGGTATGCATGCACTTACCTCTTAGGGCATGTAATGCAACATGGATTATTATTAAAACAATTTTGAGATTCTTAGTCCCAGTAAATTAATAGTTAAGGCCCTTATCACTTTGGTAAGGAGCATATGGTCATCTGTGCACGAGACTGAATGTTTTTGTTCTGTGTTGAGGCAGATTGCTGATTGCTCATTTTATTAAGGGAAAGGAAATACATTTACATAAATAAATAATTGATTGAGTAACTGTATAATTGAGAGAGGGCAAGCGTGGAACAGTGATGAGATCTGCATACAAACACACTCATGATTAATTCAATCTTTTATGGAATTTTACTTGAGTAAACAAACATTAAACAAGTTTGGTACTAGATTCACTAGTGATTATTATATTACCTAAAACACAAAAATTCATGGTGAGAGATACTTCATCTTGACAAAAGCAATTTATGTAAGATAATAAATAGAAAGAAGTGCTCTCTCTTCTCAAGTGTTCAGAATACGGCACAAAACAAGGCTGATGGCTGTTTACTACGCAACTGTCATTGATTTTAAAGAGCTAAACATAGAGTATTTGATTCTTTTTAAAATTTGCTTTTTATACTGCAGAATGAACGCACTCTACCTGATTTAATTATAGTCTTCTGGTGAAGATCTTGCCTTTTATCTCTGTGAATCAGGAGAGAAGAGATTGATGTAAGTAAAAATCAAACTTTATGTTCTTGCTTGGGAAACATGGCATGTTTATTTGTTGAATTATTTCTTTTTTCTTTTTCTTTCTTTCTTTCTTTTTTTTTTT